TAGTTCTCTAAACATTAACTGGTATAATTACAGAGTTTACCTTACTAATTCTCATCTCTCAGGAATCACGTCTTTCATTATATAATGTCCAAAGTCTGGAATATTGTTGCTTCATATACGTTCATGCACCACATAATTGTTAAGCTCCACAATGGACTACATTGTTATTGTATCCCATAAGTTTACAGTGGAGCTGAGAAACTTCTGTTAGTGAGCTGAACCCATCATGATGTCAGCACAATTCATTACTCATGAGTTTGTGATGATGCTGGTTTGCACTGCCTACTTTACTGCCAATCAGTATAGCACATGTTGCTGACCACCGGTGATTCATATTTATAATCTTAGCTACTCAGGAGGCTGAGATCTGAAGATCAGGGTGCAATAGCAAGTTTGTGAGACTCTTACTGCCAGCCAACAACCAAAAACCTGGAAATAGAGCTGTGGCTCAAGTGTATTCTTGAGTGAAAAAGCACCCAGCACCCAGCACTGAGTCAAAAAAAAAAGAATTTATGGCACATGCAGTTTGTGCAGTGTATATATCCGCTGATAGCAGTAAGAAACAAATAGGTTACTCATTTATCTATTTGTTGTACTTTGTAATCATTATTTTAGAGTATACTCCTGCTTATTAAAAATAGTATATCATGGTATGGCTCATTCATTTTGTGTTACCTGTGTCTCTTGATTACATCCAGCAACTTCAAGTTGTTAATCTGACCATCTAGATTTCTTTTATTTTTTATTGTAAAAAATGGCATTGGTGGCTCACACCTATAATCCTAGCTACTCAGGAGGCTGAGATCTTAGGATTGCAATTCAAGGACAGCCCGGGCAGGAAAGTCCATGAGACTCTTCTCTCCAATAAACCACTCAGAAAACTGGAAGTGGTGCTGTGGCTCAAGTGGTAGAGTGCTAACCTTGAGCTGAAGAGCTGAGGGACAGCACCCAGGCCCAGAGTTCAAGCCCACGACTGATAACAGCAAAACAAAACAAACAAACAAAACTAAGCACAAAGGTGGATAAGTAACTAAGTCAGGATCAAACCCCTCACCTCTCCCAGCCCCAGTGTAGCGGATTCCCTTTCTCTTCCCTGAACCTCTAAGGAATGTGTGATATATTTCCAACATTCCAAAAAGTCCAGTAGAAAATATGTTATACTTATCTGTATTTAGGTTGTACAGGCAGTTAAAACACCAGATTTCTTTGCTTCTGCTTGAAATTTCATCAGTGCAGGCCATGCTCATTATCTCATGTTGATCAGAAATTCCTTGGTGATTCTCTTGGTAGACTTCAAAGGTTATGCATGAGTCAGTGTGATGTAATGGATAAAACCTTAGGAAGAAGACCCAGCAGTATATATGGCTTACTTTATGCTAGCAATTTCATGCTTAAATCATCTTATGAAGAAAATCTTTCTCTCTTATGAAGAAAATCTTTCCCTCTGGTGAAAAGGTGCAATTCATAATTACCAAGAAGTCTGAATCATCTACTCTTAATGTAATAATTCTACTTGTAAATTGTCCATAAAGCCTTTCTTACATAGATACCACACAATTTGTGAATTTTAACCACGAAGTTGGCTTGTTTGGTTGGTTTCAATTCTGTTGTAGAACCGTTTGAGAACTACTTATGAGCATTGTCTGTATATTATTCATCTCTCTTCTCTGTCTCCTTGCAATTACCACATGGGTTGGCATTGCCTGTTGGGGAACATTTATCATATATTGTATAAATAAACAAAGGGCTTTCTGGGCTCAGTGGCATTACTGTTGGTGTTCTGAGCCCACAGAGAGGCAAAGATATGCCTATGTTTTCAAGGTGCTCACAAAACCCATGCTTTTGGCCTTGCTTATATTGCTTTTAATGTATTGTATCCATTACCTTCATTGTTTCATTAGTCTGGACAACTCTGAAGGAAATAGGTATTAACTCCACTTAACAAATGAGAAAATTCAGGTGCCAGGAAATCAAGTTACTTATACAAGACCACCTTCAAATTGGGTTACATTTCACAATTTGCTTTGAGACCTCTGTCATCCTAAGCATGTACTGTTAACCATATGACACTAGTCTGAAATTCACAGACCGGGTGCTAGCTTTATCTTTGTCTTCAGTTACTTTGAAAACTGAACTTGGTTCACTTTGCTAGATGTTATTTCTAAAATAGTAGTGATATTTAGCCTATTTTAATTTTAACAATCAGATTATTTACTGAGTTTAAAAAATCTAAATGGCCAATAAACTTTATCCATTAGAAAAATGTAAATTAGGGGCTGGGAAGGTGGCTCAGTGGTAGAGTGCTTGCCTTGCATGCATGAGGCCCTGGGTTCAATTCCTCAGCACCACATAAGCAAAAAGAAAAAAGCCGGAAGTGGCGCTGTGGCCCAAGTGGTAGAGCGTTAGCCTTGAGCTGATGAGTTGAGGGACAGCGCTCAGGCCCAGAGTTCAGGCCCCACAACCGGACCCCCCCCAAAAAAAAGAAAAATGTAAATTAAAACTATATAGATATTGCTTCATGCCGCCCAAATTGTTAAAATTTGAAAGCACAGTAATACTAATGGTTGGTGAAGATGTGGAACAAAAGAATATCCCAACTCCCCACATTTCAAAACTCTCTAACATGTATGAAGTTGAATATGCTTTATCACCTAGCACTTCTACAACTAAAAGACTTGTATGTTGCCCTCAAAACATGTGTATGGTAGCCAAGTGTTGAATCATTAGCAATTGTTGATTACAGCATATTAATATGATAAATATTATACAGTGCTAAAATGAAAGCACTCATATATATGTATATATGAGAAGGGGAGAGGAGGGAATATATAGATATATAGATATATAAATATACACACACATACACACATATATATTGTGAAGGAGGACAGACATAGGTGAAAATATACTATACATATAAATCAAGTTCATGTTAAGGAAAAAATAATTTGTCATTTTGAAAGCTAAGGTAACATTATCTAAGTTGAGAATAGGGATTTTAGTGATGGACAGAAGTTGTTGGAGCCTCTGGGAGAGCTAGTAATATTCTATTTCCTTATCTGAAAGTTAGTTATATGAGTGTGTTGACTGAAAATTCATTGATTGGTACACTTTTTTGTTGTTGTTGGCCATGGAGCTTGAACTTGGGGCCTGGGTGCTGTCCCTGAGCTTTTTCTCAAGGCTAGCTCTCTACCACTTTGAGCCATAGTGTTACTTCAGTTTTTGGGTGGTTAGTTGGAGATAAAGAGTCTTACAGACTTTCCAGCCCAGGCTGGCTTTGAACTGCCATCCTCAAGTCTCAGCCTCCTAAATAGCTAAGATTACAGGTATGCGCCACCAGTGCCTGGCTTGGTATACTTTTCTAAATGTGCTATCCTTAAATAATATTACTTAAAATATGAAGGATAGAAGCTTTTGGCATATCTCCTATTGGTATTTTTTTTTTCATTTGAGAATTGGAAACCTGAAAAAAAGGGAAATGACAATTAAATCTAAGAAGTTTTTCATATACTCTAACTTGAAGATTATGCAGTGATAATGGCTAGGCATGTTGGTTCATGCCTGTAATACCAGCTATTCAGAAAGAGGAGGTAGAAGGAGGCCCACCTGGACAAAAGCTTGAGATCCTTTCTGAAAACAAAGTAAAGCAAAATAGATTGGGGTAAGATATAAATGGTACTGTCCTAGCTCTACTAACTACCCCCTCCCCCCCCCAAAAAAAGATTATGCAATGTACTTTAGTACTGTGGTCTCTGAGGAGCCTAAGGACCAGGAAGCAGTGAAACATCCATTTTGGTAGCCCTTTCTCTTCTTTAGAGATACTAGGACTCTATGATCTGCACTATATCCCTAAGAGATGGTGGTGGCAGTATGCAGAGGACCATAAACTGAAGGAAGAAAAATCATCATGCCTTTTCCTCTCTTTTACCCTCCTCTGTCTCCCTCCTCTTTATTATGAATTGTTAAGAATAATGGATCTCGGGCTGGGAAGGTGGCTCAGTGGTAGAGCGCTTGCCTTGCATGCATGAGGCCCTGGGTTTGATTCCCCAGCACCACATAAACAAAAAGAAAAAACGCTGGAAGTGGTGCTGTGGCTCAAGTGGTCGAGCGCTAGCCTTGAGCTGAAGAGTTGAGGGACAGCGCCCAGGCCCAGTGTTCAGGCCCCACCACCGGACCTCCCCCCCCTAAAAAAAAATGGATCTCATTATGAGATGTGCATGCATGTACTTGGATCATAGCCACCCCCTCATTACCCTCTTTTGTCTTCCTTTCCCTTCCTGTAGGTCTCCTTCCTCTTCCCAGATAGTTCCCCTATACTCAGGACCTGAGCATTCATTGCCCCTTAGCTTTTTCTCTCCTATTTTTTGTTTTCCCAGTGGTAGCCATTCTGATTGGAGTGAGGTGAAATCTCATTGTTACTTTTATTTGCATTTCTATGGTGGCTAAAGATGTTGTATATTTTTTAATGTATTTATTGGCCATTTGTACATCTTTTTGAGCCTATCTGTTAACTCATTTTTCACTTTCTGATTGAATTATTTATTCTTTTGATGTTTAATTTTTTTGGTTCTTTTTGGATATATTCTGGATATTAATCTAGAATGAATAGCTGGCAGTTTCTTTTCCCCTTTCTGTAGGCTGTCTCTTCTTCTGTAGGCTGGTAATTGTTCTCTAGTTTATACAGAAACTTGATAATTTGATTGTAATTCCATTTATCAATTCTTTCTTGGAATTAGAATACTGAAATAAAACAAAACTGTTCAAGAAATTACTTGGTATTTGGTCATATGTGTATGAACTCAGATTTAAATATGAGTCCTTATGACACCAAAGTCCATGTTCTTACAACAATATGAAGGTGGCTTGGAGGAGATCCCTCAGGGACAATTTGCTGTGAGAGAAGTAAAGGCCGAAAGACATTCTGAATGAGAAGAGCTCCATCTTGCATTTTTCTCATGCTCCTTAATTGCATGTGTAGCCTCATTTGTCCTCTTCTCTAGAGGTTCGCATTGCTGCTGTAGAAGCTCTCTGTATGCTGGCCCAGTCTTCACCCTCTTTTGCTGAAAAGTGCCTTGATTTCCTGGTCGACATGTTTAATGATGAAATTGAGGAAGTACGTCTGCAGTCCATACATACCATGAGGAAAATCTCTAACAATATCACTCTTCGGGAGGATCAGCTTGACACTGTCCTGGCTGTTTTAGAGGTAAGCATTTCGTTTGTTGCTCATTTCTCATCAAATACCTATTGAGGCTTCTCCTTTTTAAAAACCAGGCATTGGTTCTGAAGGTGAGCTTAATACAGAAGGAACTAGGCATCTAAATTGCTAGGATGAGTTTGTGGGAGTGTGAGGTGGAGGAACATTCCAGGCAGAAAGGGAGTAGATATAGAATATCTATGGTGGATAGGAACATGGCACAGTTGAAGGACCAAAAGAGAGCTGAGTGGCTGGAAGAAAGAATAATACATATGTGGTATGAGATTAGATTGGTAGGGGAAGTGGAATCAGCTCATACAGAGCTTGACTGTCATCTTGTCTTTTTTTTTTAAACAAACAAATATATCTTAACTTTATAATCCATACTAGCTTGGAATTCTTAGTATAGCCTAGGTTGATCTTGAATTTGTGTGCCTCCCCAAGTGCTGATGTAAACCACCATGCAAAGTCTGAAAACTATCTCTAATTTCTCATTTTTTACTCTGCCTGTACTGGCTTCCATGTTGTTTTTAAACATGCTTCCACCTCATTCTGTTTGTGCTTGCTGTTCCTTTGATTGTCCTGTGTAAAGTACCTGACCTATCCCTACTCTTGCCTTGCTCATAGTCCTTTTGTAGTTTTAGTTTCTTTTGTAGATAAGGTCTTACACTTTTGCTTTGCTAGGCCTGTCTGAAACCACAATCTTTCTACTACTGTCTCCTGAGTAGTTGTGATTACAGGCATACATTTCCATGCTTAACAACCTGTCCTTTTTCAGAGTTGCAAGGAGACCCTTACTCCTTTGGCATTATGATTGAGCTCCAGACAGGAAGAAAAAGGAAGGTTTAAGATAAAGAGGCAAACCTGGCACACCTAGCCTTTCCCTTTTCATTAAATTAGTAAGATGAGAGCTTGTCCAGGAATTTCAGCTAGTAAACTGTTGAGTACTTCCTCATATGTCTATCCTAAATACAAAGGCGCCTAGGAAGAAGGGGTGGTAGATAGAGTCTGGGTTTGTTAATTAACAGTCATTATTTTTAATCATTATCTTTTTCTTTTTGTAAGGATTCATCCAGAGATATTAGAGAGGCTCTTCATGAACTCTTATGCTGCACTAATGTTTCAACCAAAGAAGGCATTCATCTTGCACTGGTGGAACTGCTGAAGAATTTAAGCAAATACCCCACTGATAGGGACTCCATATGGAAGTAAGGACTTGCCACCCCATTTATTAAGTCCCTTTTGCCTTTAATTTAGAAACCTGATTCAACTTTACCAGACTCTCAGGAGTCTAATTCCTAAGATAAATATCACATTTTTGTATTATTCATTTGTCTTTTCATCAACCTAAAAAGTATGTACCTGCTGTGTACTGACTGTGTGCCCTGTGGTAGGTTCTGGGGCTATAGAAATGAGTCTGCTAGATGTCCTTTTATCTCCTGAACAATGTTAACCACTGTTTGTCTATTTTGCAGTTTATATGAAGTATAACCATCATCACTGAGCTTAGAGGCAGGGCTCTTGTTCTATAGATGGAACTCACCATTATTCTCCCACCTAATTACCTCTAGCTTTACTGATTATAGTCTAGGTATTAACATTCACTATTTACAAACCTCTTTCTATTTGAAGAACTACTTGCATATATTTAATATACAATGTCTTATGGTTCTCTGCTTATTTAAATGAGCTTATCTGATAAGATCATTCCATCTGTGTGTTGTTTATTGATTTTCAAAAAAAATTGGTTACTAAAAGTAAAGACAAAACTGGGTGCTGGTAGCTAATGCCTATAATCCTAGCTACTCAGGAGGCTGAGATCAGATAGGATCGTAGTTCAAAACCAGCTGGCTCTGAGACTCTTTATCTACAGTTAATCACAGAAAAAGCCGGAAGCAGAGCTGTGGATTAGGTGTTAAAGCACTAACTTTGAGCAAAAGAAGCTTAGGGACATTGCTCAGTTCCAGCTTCAGGATTGGCACAAAAAAAAAATGTAGAAAAACTGAGCTGAATCAGGTTGGAAGACATACATTCTCTCTCTCCCTCTCCCTCTCCCTCCCTCTCTCCCCCCCCTTCTACCTACCTATCTAATATGTAAATAGATTTATCACATGACTCACATAGTAAGCAAGAACTCTTCTACTATATTCTATCTCCAGCCCCTGGAGAATATTAAAAACTAAAAATGACAGGAGAACCCAGCTTTATGTTTCACTTAACAATACATTTTTGATTTTTTTTTTAAGGCAAGTTTTAATTTTTATGGACCTTGTGCTTGCTAGTCAAGTGATCTACCTCTTGCGCCATACCCCTAGCCCTGGGTCATACTTTAATTTCTAGTATTCTGTTTTGCCATTTGCTCATGTTTATGCAGTTGAGCTCAATTGAGCATGCCTTTATTGATCATCTTCAAGGAGTACTTGGTCATTTGAGGTGTGGTGATAGAGTAGGGAAACACTCTTGTCAGTAATTGCAGGTTTGCAAAGATACAGAAGAAATGATTAATTCTGGTTGATAAAAGGTATTGTTATGGAACGTATTGCAGAATATTTTCTTGTCTGAAAGTAAGATTTGTGGGGTGATTTTTTTTTGGTATTTCCTAGAATATATAAGGCCATCTTGATTAAGTTATAGTGCTTAAAAGATTTTAGAATTACCTATTCTAACAATCACTTAATTATTTTCACTTTAGTCCCACAAATTGGGTGTTTACTTAGAAATATTAATGAATATAACAAAAGAGTTAAAGGAATATTCAGAGTGATTTTTGTTTTGTTTTTATGCCTGTCCTGGGGCTTGAACTCAGGGGCTTGGGCACTGTCCCTGACCTTTTTTGCTCAGGTTTAGTGCTTTACTATTTGAGCCACAACTTCACTTCTAGCTTTTTGGCCATTATTTGGAGATAAAGAGTCTTATGGACTTTCATGATGGGCTGGCTTTGAACCAAGACACTCAGATTTCAGTCTCCTGAGTAGCTAGGATTATAGGCGTGCCACCAGTACTCTACCAGAGTGATGTGTTTTTACAATGTTGCTAAAGATGGATACATAGATGAAAAATGTGAAGTTATTTGTTCTGCTTCTTTTCTATTTTTTTTTTTTTTTGGATCTGGTCGTGGCGCCTGAACTCTAGGCCTGGACACTGTCCTTCAGCTTTTCAGCTCAAGGCTAGCGTTCTACCACTTGAGCCACAGCACCACTTCTGGCTTTTTTCTTTTTTGCTTATGTGGTGCTGAGGAATCGAACCCAGGGCCTTAGGCATGCAAGGCAAGCGCTCTACCACTGAGCCACCATCCCAGCCCTTCTTTTCTATTTTTTAAATCACTATGTAATATAAACTGACACTACTTGGTTTATCACAATATTCAAATAGGAAACTGCCTGTAAATTGTTTGGACAGAGCTTACTGCATAATAAAAACTCAAAAAAATCTTAAATAAAAAAATCACTCTGTAGCTCAGGCTGGTCTGGAACTCATTATCTTCCTGCTTCAGTCTCCCCAGTTTTGGGTTTACAAGATGTCTCCCATCATGCCCTTGTTCTCTTCTAGTATCTGATCATTTCAGCACACACTGAGCACTTGTTATTACCCAATAACTAACTATATTAAAGTGCTGTGGAGACTTAAAAATAGATCAACTCGCAGACTCAGCCCTCAAATAGGAGGAAGAAAAAGAAGTAAAGATTAGATATATATGAGAAGGTTGGACAAAGTAAGAAAAAAACCCAAAAACATATTAGTAAGGCAGAAGGTCTAGTTCAGTGAAACCGAGTGGGATAGAGATCTTCAAGGGGACCAATTAGCAGCACTCAGGTTTCCCACCTGCGTGCCGAATAGAACAAAGGTGAAAAAGGAATGGCAACTGGAGGCCAAAGTGCAGCCTGTACAGTGTGCCCTGAAGCACAGTAACTGAAAGGACTGAGAGAGGCAGAGAATTTATAGTGGATTTCTTTCCACTTGGAAGGGAAAACATGAGATTGAGAAAAAGTAGTTTCTAACTAGATCAAATGCTGTAGGTTGAGAGGTCTTTTATACCCCATGTATTCATGACTCAGTTCTTAGTGTTCCTTTTATCGCTTTGGGTGATCTGCCTATGTTCCAGTTCCCAGTGAAGTCTTAACCACAATGTGATATTTTGTTTGATTCTAATGATCTTGTCTACCTTTGCCAGAGTGTCTTTTGTTTGGTAGTTCATTGCCTTATAGTGCTGGTCATCATAACCTCAGCTGGATTTTAACCTCAGTGACAGCAGAGGTTAAGACTGTTCATTTAGTTCAGTTTCTAACCCAGAACTTACCAAATACAAAATAGTAAAAGTACACAATTACGTTACCTGGTAGTTCTTGGTAGCTTTTAAAGAGGCTCTTAATAAAGACTTTAGTCTTGTTTTGTTTTTTTCTTTGTGCTGGTACAAAAATAAATGTTTTTCAGCTTTTTCAATTAAGGCTTTTGTTTTACCACTTGAGCCACAGCTCTACTTCTGGCATTTTGCAGGGTAATTACAAATAAGAATTTCTTGGATTTGTATGGCCTGAATGGCTTTGAACCTTGATCATCACATATTAGACTTCTGAGTAGCTAGAATTATAGGCACGACCGACCCACCAATGCTTGGCTTAGTCGTGTGTGTGTGTGTGTGTGTGTGTGTGTGTGTGTGTGTGTGCGCGTGCATGTGCATGCATGCATGCGTGCGCGCGTGTACACACACACGTGAATGCAGGTACTGGGGGTTGAACTCAGGGACTTGTGCTCTTGCTTGGCTTTTTCACTCAAGGCACTCTCATACTTGATCCATACCTCCATTTCTAGCCTTTTGCTGGTTAATTATAGATGTTTCTCAGATTGATCTACTTAATCTGGTTTTGAACCTCAACCTTTACATCTCAGCCTTCTGAGATCTAGGATTACAGGATAGGATTACAGGCAAGGGCCCCAGCACCTGGCTATCAAGTCTAATTTTTTTTTCTTTTTGGTTCAACTGGGATTCAAACTCTTGACTTGATGATTTCACTCATTGGCTAACACCTTACCATCTGAGCCACATCTCCAACTTCTTCTAAAGTCTAATTTTTTTGCATAGTAAGAAGTGATAAGTTGGTTTTAGGAATGTTCATTAACAGCTTAACATGGTAAGAGTACCAGTTGATTTCTCTGCTATTTCTTTCCTTTTAGAGTTTCAGGATGTCTGCTTTGTTAGACAATATATAAGGTCATAAAATAAGGGTATTTTCATTCATACCTCACTCTGTCTCTCTGCGGTGTCTCTGTCTGTCTGTCTGTCTATCTGTCTCTCTCTCTCTCTTTCTCTCTCTCCGATTTGAACTTAGGGTCTTGCACTTGCCAAGCAGGTACTGTAGCCCTTTATTTGCTTTGGTTATTTTGAAATACGCTCTTGCTTTTTGTTTGGACTGTAGTTCTCCTTTCTTTTTTCTCTTCTTCTTTCTTTCTTTCTTTCTTTCTTTCTTTCTTCTTTCTTTCTTTTCTTTTCTTTCTTTCTTTGCCTGAGTGCTCCCTTCAGCTTTTTCTCTCAAGGACAGTGCTCTTCCACTTGAGTCATGGTTTCACTTCCAGCTTTTTGGTTGTTACTTGGAGATAAGAGTCACAGACTTGGCTGGGAATGTGGCTTAGTGGTAGAGTGCTTGCCTAGCATATATGAAGCCCTGGGTTCGATTCCTCAGTACCACATAAACAGAAAAAGCCAGAAGTTGCTCTGTAGCTCAAGTGGTAGAGTGCTAGCTAGCCTTGAGCAAAAGTAGCTCAATGACATGCCTGGGCCCTGAGTTCAAACCCCAGGACTGGAAAAAAAGAAAAAAAAAAGAATCACAAGCTTTCCTATGTAGGCTGGCTTCGAACCATGATCGTTAGATCTCACCCTCCTGAGTAGCTAGAATACAGAAGTGAGCCACCAGTGTCCCACCAGACCTCCTGTTTTGTTTTCTGTGGTTGTTAGGATGACCCAACCATGCCAAGCTCTTTCTTTCAAGATAGAGATCTCATGAACTTTTTGCTCAAACTGCCTTTGAAATATCCCATTTATGCTTCCTGAGTACCTGGGATGACAGGCATGAGCTACCATGCAGACTGAATTTCTCTTTCTGTTTGGTTAGTAAAACATTCCTGAGAACTTGCCAGCAGACTTCCCTTTTATTCCACTCATCAGAACTGTGTTACTTGACTACCAGCAAATCAGTCACTGGAAAATGAGAAAGAGCTGCCAGAATGGTTTTAAACCAATAGTCAGGGTTCTATGCTTGGGATGGGCCTACTTTCCATAAGCACTTTGCTGCCTGCAAAGCACTTTGCTTACCAGCTGAAAATTAGTACTGACTTGGAAAGCAAGATTGGTGGGGGAAATGGCTGCTTCTTTAACAGCCAGTATATCTGCCCTTTTATCTTCATAGTAACCATTTTTAACTGAGTTTTAGAATAATTGGGTGACTTATCTGATTAATAAGAGTTAGGAAAACTTTTTTTTTTTTGTCAGTTATGGAGCTTGAACTCTGGGCTTGGGTGCTGTCCCTGTGCTCTTCAGCTCAAGACAAGTGCTGTACTGCTTGAGCCACAGCAGTTTATTGGAGATAAGAGTCTCACGGGGGGGGGGGGGGGGGTGCTGGGAAGGTGGCTCAATGGTAGAGTGCTTGCCTTGCATGCATGAGGCCCTGGGTTCGATTCCTCAGCACCCATAAGCAAAAAGAAAAAAGCTGGAAGTGGCTCTTTGGCTCAAGTGGTAGAGTGCTAGCCTTGAGCTGAAGAGCTGAGGGACAGCGCCCAGGCCCAGAGTACAGGCCCCACAACCGGACCCAAAAAAAAAAGAGTCTCACAGTCTTTTCTGCCTGGGCTGGCTTTGAACCATGATCTTCAGCTTTCAGCCTCCTGAGTAGCTAGGATTACAGACGTGAGCCACCCGTGCCCAGCTGTTTTCAGTTTTTTTTTTGTTAATCTTACTCAGGAGGCTGAGAGCTGAGGATCACGGTTTGATACCAGTCTGGGCAGGAAAGTCCATGAGTCTCTTTATCTCCAATTAGCTTCCAAAAACCTGGAAGTATAGCTGTGGCTCACATGGTAGAGCATTAGCCTTGAGCACAAAAACTCAAGGACAGTGCTCAGGCCCTGAGTTAAAGCCCCATGACTGACCTAACATCCCCCATGCCCCTGCAGAAAATCCTTTTTTTTTGGACTGGCTTTTAACCACAATCCTCAGATCTCAGCCTCCTGAGTAGCTAGGATTATAGGTGTGAGCCACTGGTGCCTGCTATAATTTTTTTTATTTAGGTAGTTGTACAAAGGAAGTTGTCATTCAACAAAGCAGTTTAGGATCACAATGCATCTTTATTAATGTCACCTGAAAACTCAGGTTTTCTGATTCTAATTCCTGATGCTTTTTAAGGTACTTACTGATTTACTGGGTACATACTTGTTTGTTTCAGGTGCTTGAAGTACCTAGGAAGTCGACATCCAACCCTGGTGCTTCCTTTGGTGCCAGAGCTCTTGAGCATTCACCCGTTTTTTGACACAGCGGAACCAGACATGGATGACCCAGCTTGTATCCTTTGGACCTGGGGTGGGCCCCACTCACTTGGCAGAAAAAGCTGGAATTGCTTTCTGAAGTGTAATGATGGTTTCAGTTTTGTTTCCTTATTTCCTTTAGGTAAGAGTTTGCCTCAGGGAGTCTGATGGTTAATATTCACACCTTTCAGTGTTGTTTTCACAGTAATTTATCTTTGCTATTTATGCTGATAATTACGTTTACCATTTGGTTGGTACTTCTTACATTCTAATACTCATTAAATACATTTTTTTTTTGTCGGTCCTGGGCCTGAACTCTGGGCCTGAGCACTGTCCCGCAGCTGTTCAGCTCAAGGCTAGCGCTCTACCAGTTGAGCCATAGCGCCAATTCTGGTTTTTCTACTTATGTGGTGTTGAGGAATTGAACCCAGGGCCTCATGCATACATGGCAAGCACTCTTATCACTGAGCCACTTTCCCAGCCCTCATTAAATACATTTTATCTTTGATCCACCAAATAAATCTGGAAGGAGGTGTTTTTATAGTTTACAAAAGAAGAAACTCAGGGTTATAGAATTTAAGTGACTTGAGGAGCAGATCTTGGATGTAAAGCCTGTGCACATTGCTGGGTCTTAACACTGTTTAATTTGATCTACAGCCTGAGGGAGGTAATGCCCTGAAGTAGGCTGTATCATTACTCTGCTTCTAATACAAGTTCATCCAGTCTGTAATTACCTTGTACAGCATGCTGTGGAATTGGCTTGTGTTCTGGCAATGGGTATACATTTCCACCAGTGCATTTGTACTCTGTTCTTATTGTTTGTGCTCCATGGGTATATTTTCCATGAGGTTTAGGGAGGATATTTATTGAAGTGCAAGGATCAGACAAATAACTGACTGTTCTGTGCAGGTGATTCTGACATTCTCTGTTATGGTTGCTTATATTTATATAAAGCTCTGGGTAATGGTTTCCCTAATTCTGTACTTCTATGAAAAACATGTCACAGCTCCAGTTAAAGCATATGTTTCTGAAATTTAGCTAATCATTGAAGGACTTGTGTGGGCTAGGTCTTATTACTAATCTTGGAAGAGATTTTGAAATGCTGTGAAACCTGAATGTTCTTTCACATAAAAAAAAAGTATTAAATTTTTTTGGAAGTCCACTTTGGTAAGATACTTTCTCAGTAGTTGAAGGATTGTATTTATGAATTAAGTTTGAATAAAATTAATAGAAATTATCCTCATTGTTACTTAAACAAGTTAAAAGTTTCATTTTTCTCCAGTGCAAGACAAGTCTGCAGGTAATCCATTTAGGGCTATTCCAAATTCTAGCAGGGCTTCATTCTTGGTGATCTCTGCTTCTTTCTGTACAGCCATGGTTTGACTGATTGATTGATTGATTGGTTGGTTGCAATAGGGTCTTTTTTGGGGGGCGAGGGGTCCGGTCGTGGGGCCTGAACTCTGGGTCTGGGCTCTGTCCCTCAGCTCTTCAGCTCAAGGCTAGCGCTACCACTTGAGCCACAGCGTCACTTCCAGCTTTTTTCTTTTTTGTTATGTGGTGCTGAGGAATCGAACCCAGGGCCTCACGCATGCAAGGCAAGCACTCTACCACTGAGCCACCTTCCTAACCCTGCAATAGGGTCTTACTGTGTTGTCTGGATAGGGTTTGAACTCCTGGCCTTAAGTTGTCTCCTTACTTTTGCCTTCTGGTACTACAGACATACGTCATAACAATGTTATGATCTGTGTAGAAATGTGCAAGTGACTTTTTTTTGGTCAGTCCTGAGGCTTGAACTCTGGGCCTGGGCACTGTCCCTGAGCTCCTTTTGCTCAAGGTTAGCATTCTACCACTTGAGCCTCTTCCAGCTTTTTTGAGTAGTTTATTGGAGATAGAAGTCTCATGGACTTTCCTGCATGGGCTGCTTTCAAACTGTGATCCTGCTTTTTCTGTGATTAATTGGAAGAGTCTCAAGTTCTTTTCTGCCCAGGATGGCTTTGAACTGTGATCTCAGAGCTCAGCCTCCTGAGTAGCTATTTATTTATTTAGACTATTTTGAAGTGTGAAGTTAATCATAAGACTTACAGCCCACTGTGAAATAATTATCTAAGGGCATTATGTTAATATGTACAGTAATAGGCAGTGTTCTGAGAATCTTTTGCTATTCTTTCAGCACCACTGGACAGTCTTTTTAATCATCTTTGGCAATTAGAGATATAGGTGGAATAGGAGGAACTGACTCCTCATTTAAATTTGCATTTCTGTGATTGCTAGAAAATTAGTTTCTAAATGGAAATTTTGGGAGAGGGAGGTAGGGGTGCCAAATTCTGGTCAAGCTCAACGTTCTATATTTCCATGTTTTCTTAACTTACTTGTCCATCAGACATCGCGGTTTTGGTTCTTATTTTCAATGCTGCTAAAACCTGTCCAACAATGCCAGCATTATTCTCAGATCATACCTTCAGGCACTATGCTTACCTTCGAGACAGTCTTTCTCATCTTGTTCCAGCCTTAAGGGTATGTTGAAAGCAGTTGTCCTCGTTTTTGTTTTTATTTGTTTTAGGGTTTTTTTTTTGGTGCTTTGTTTATTTATTTATTTTTTGGGCCTGGTTGTGTGGCTTGAACTTCTGGGCCTGGGTGCTGTCCTCAGCTCTTCAGCTCAAGGCTAACGCTCTACCACTTGAGCCACAGTGCCACTTCTGGCTTTTTTCTTTTTGCTTATGTGGTGCTGAGGAATTGAACCCAGGGCCTCGTGCATGCAAGGCAAGCGCTCTACCACTGAGCCACCTCCCCAGCCCCTCTGTTTGTTTATTTATTGGTACTAGGGTTTGTACTCAGCCTGGAGCTTACTAGGCAGGCACTCCACCACTTGAGCCACACCTCCAACCCTCATTTTTGCTGGTTATTTTTGAGATAAGGTCTTACTCTTTGCCTGGGTATACACCTGGGTATGGATTGTCTATGTTAAGCACTGTGTCTTAGCTCTTCATTGAGGGGGTAGGGGGTCTTCCAAACTTTCCTGCCCTGGCTAGCCTCAATTTGCAGTTTTCATAATCTCAGCCTCCCAAATAGCTATGATTACAAGCATGAGTTACCAGTACCCACATGGAGCTTCTTAAACTAGAAAACCAAAACTATATATATATGTATATTATATATATTTATATATAAGTTTTATATGTATATATATATATATATATATATAGCTAGTAAACTGCAACATTATAGAAAATTCAAAATAAACTGAAATTTTTGCTTATTCCCATTCTTTTTCTTAAAAGGTAACACAGTCTTAGTTCCTGAGGTACATTATTCCTTTGGATAAGGCCAGAAGAAGTAGTCTCCATTGTGTAGTGGGGAAATACGGACTGATGAGAAAATAAATGTGTGTTTTGTGTGCTTTTCTTTTCTTTTTGAACTCAGGACCTGGGCACCATCCCCAAGCTTCTTTTGCTCAAGGCTAGCACTCTACCACTTGAGCCACAGAGCCACTTCCGGCTTTTTCTGTTTATGTGGTACTGAGGAATCAAACCCAGGGCTTCATGCATGCTAGGCAAGCATTCTACCACTAAGCCACATTCCCAGCCCTTGCTTTTCTTTTGTTTCTTTTGATGGTACTGGGCCTTGAACTCAGGACCTCATGCTTGCTAGGCAGGCTCTCTACTACTTGAGCCATATTTCCAGCTCTTTTTTTTTTTTGAGGCGGGGAGCATAGTTGTTTTTCAAATAGAGTCTTGAGTTTTTACTTGTGGCCTCAGACCATAATATTCCTACCTTGAGAGTGGCTGGGATTACAGGTGTGAGCCACCTGCCTGGTTTTGTACAGTTAATTTTTTTTTAAATTTAATTAAAAAAAATTTTTTTTTTGGTCAGTTGTAGGGCTTGAACTCTGGGCTTGGGTGCTATCCCTCTGCTCTTCAGCTCAAGGTGAGTGCTCTACCACTTGAGCCACAGTGCCACTTCCTGTTTTCTAGTGGTTTATTGGAGATAAGAGTCTCACGGACTTTCCTGCCTGGGTTGGCTTTGAACCGTGATCCTCAGATCTCAGCCTTCTGAGTAGCTAGGTTTATAATTTATTACAGAAAATTATGTGGGAATATATGATCACTTACCCATGGATTTAAAGAGAAAATAAAAGCTTAAAAACATATAACATGGGCTGGGAAGGTAGCTCAGTGGTAGAGTGCTTGCCTTGCATGCATGAGGCTCTGGGTTCGATTCCTCATCACCATATAAGCAGAAAAAGCTGGAAGTGGCACTGTGGCTCAAGTAGTAGAGCACTAGCCTTGAGCTAAAGAGCTGAAGGACAGTGCCCAGGCCCGGAGTTGAGGCCCACGATTAGCAAAAACAAACAAAGAAACATATATAACAATAGATTAACTTTTAGTCTGATTCCTATAGTTAGCTGCTCTTTTTCATGAGCACTATGGGTACATTGGGTAGACTGTGTTTGCATTGTCCTCTCCTTTCCCTCTCCTCTTCTTTCTACCCCTCTTTTTTTGTTTCCTCTTTCCTCTACCCACTCCCTTTCTCTTTCTCCCTCACCCCCCACCATATCCCCTGTAGCTGAGGAAGGAGAAAACTAGGTTGCTTACCGACCCTCCTAGCCTTTTTTCTCCTTGCTTCGTTTGGCTCCAATTTTTTTCCGGTTTCTTTGAGTTACCACACTAGCTCAGCCACAGAGCTTGAGGGTACTATCATCTCACCTGTGTGCTTAGTTACCAGGTAGAAAACTAGTGTCATCGTCTGTCTCCCCCAATATCACGCCCCATGAAGATCCTTCCCAGCAGTTCCTACAGCAGAGCCTGGAAAGAGTGTATAGTCTTCAGCATCTTGACCCTCAGGGAGCCCAGGAACTGTTGGAGTTCACTATCAGGTAAGGAGACACTGACTCTGCTTTGTTGTCATGCTCAGAGTACTGCTTATGTTCCTGTGTTGGTTATTGGGCCTCATTTTCTGACTCATGGCCTACACTGTTGTGTGATTTTGTGATCTGTTTCTATTTGGATTAGATTGTGGCTTGGGTTGTTTGTTTGTTTTTAAGTGGCATCTGTGAGTTGGGCTTGGTGGAATATGCCTGTAATCCAAGCACTTGTGAGGCTGATGTTGAGGAGGATGATGGGATCAAAGCTATCCCAGGTTACTTGTGCAAGGCTAACTTGGAGGACTGCATAGCAAGACTGTACTTTTTTTTTTTAAAGACAAATAAAAAGGCTGGGCACTGTTGACTCAAGCCTATAATCCCTGCTACTCAGGAGGCTGAGATCTGAGGATCAAAAGTTCAAAGCCGGCACGGACAGGAAAGTCAGTGAGACTCTGATCTCTAGTTATCAACCAAAAAGCTAGAAGTGGGGGCTGAGAATGTGGCTTAGTGGAAGAGTTGCTTGCCTAGCATGCATGAAGCTCTGGGTTCAATTCCTCAGTCCCATATAAGCAGAAAAGACTGGAAGTGGCACTGTGGCTCAAGTGGTAGATTGCTAGCTATCCTTGAGCAAAAAAAGTTCAGGGACAGTGACCAGGTCCTGAGTTCAAGCCCCAGGACTGGCAAAACAAACAAACAAACAAAAAAACCCAAAAAGCTAGAAGTGGAGCTGTGACTCAAGTGGTAGAGTACTACTCTTGGGCAGAATAGCTCAAGGACAGCATCCAGGCCCTGAGTTCAAGCCCTCCAACAGGCACAAGATAAAAAAAAAGAAAGAAAGGGAGAAAAGAATGCTTTTTGTGTTCATGACTCAATGAGTAAAGAAAAATAGAAATAATTATAGAAAGCTATTTAAATTTTTCTTTGTTTATAAAGTAGGTTTTAAAATGTAAAGTAACAGTGGCTTTACAGGACAAATTTAATTCTTTCACACAAGTGGGACAGAGCTGGGATGATAAATGGCTCTGGGGTCATTCGTACATATGTTTCCATCTTTGGTATCAAGTGGCCTCTGCCTGTCTTAAATCTAACTATTCCCTTTCTATTCTTGCCTGTAGAACAAAGGAAAAGACAAGAGTAGGGCTTTTCCATTTCCATTCACTTGTAAAGATTCATTCCAGAGTTGCACTTTCTAGATTTACCTGCATCCTGTTCACTGGAGCATAAGAGTCCTCACTATATCTAGCTTCAGGGAACCAGGAGATTCAGTCTTCACTGTGATGACTGCTGCATAATTAACATTTGATGACTCTATACTCTGGTTGTTGGGGAGAGAAAATACCCGGGAGCGAGCAAAGCTGTGCTAGACCACATCAAAATCACCTGAAAAGAATTGAAACCCATTTTTCTTTAGTAAAAAGCAGTATTATTTATTCTGTGTGTGTGTGTGTGTGTGTGTGTGTGTGTGTATGTGTGTGTTTAAGAGAGAGAGAGAAAGAGTAGAAAAGAAGAAAAATATTATTTATCAGCTTGGTGGAGCTCTCTTCTGACCTTCCCTGAGGGACACTCTATCTGTCACATTCAATTAATAATTCTCTGTATTGTGCATTTTTTTCTCTTTGAAATAGGATCTTGGTATGTAGCCCAGGCTGGCCTTGAACTTCTGACTCCAGTTTTTCTAACCGTAGGATTAAGGGCATGAATTTTCATATCTGACTTTTTTTTCTTTTGCAGTTTGTGTGTGTGTGTGTGTGTGTGTGTGTGTGTGTGTGTGTGTGTTGTGTGCATGCACGTGCGCACACACATGTGCACATGCTAGACCTGGGGATTGAACTAAGAGCCTGGGCTATGTTTCTGAGCTTCTTTTTGCTAAAGGCCAGCGTTCTAGCACTTGAGGCACAGCTCTACTTCTGCCTTTTGGTAGTTAATTGGAGATAAGATTCTCATGGACTTTGATGGCTTTGAATTGTGTATTCTCAATAGCTAGGATTACAAGTGTGAGCCACTGATGACTCTTTAGTTATTTTTGCAGTTTTTCCATTCAAACTCACACTCTCCACATATGCTTAAGCTCAACCTCTTGCCTGCATCCCATTCCTTAGAAATTCTTTTTTTGTTTTATTCCCCCTGGTACCAGGGCTTGAGCTCAGGCTTTTTCTTAGTTATTTCGCTCATAGCCAGCACATTTGATCGATACCTCCAGTCAGGCATTTTGCTGATTGATAGAATTGGAGATAGAATTGCTCAGACTTTTCTACTCAGTCTGGCTTTGAACCTTGGTCCTCAAATATCAGCCTCCTGAATAGCTAAGATTACAGGAATGAAGCATTGGTACTTGGCCTTAATGAATTTTGTTGTTGTTGTTCCAGGGCCTGGGTACTGTCCATTAGTTTTTTTTTGTTGTTGTTGTTGTTTGGTTGGTTTTTGTTTTTGTTTTGTCCATCATGGGACTTGAAATCTGAGCCTGGGCACTGTCCCTCCCCTCTTCAGCTTAAGGCTAGCGTTGTACCACTTGAGCCACAGCGCCACTTCCAGTTTTTTCTGGTGGTTCTTGGAGATCAGAGTCTCATGGACTTTCCTGCTTGGGCTGACTTTAACCATAATCCTCAGATCTCAGCCTCCTGAGTAGCTGGGATTACAGGTGTGAGCCACCAGCACCTGGTTGTTACTGAGTTTCTGTGTTCAAGGCTAGCACTCTACCACTTGAGCCAAAGCTCTATCTCCAGTTTTTTGATAGTTGAAGATAAAATTTCACAGACTTTCCTGTCAGGTCTGGCTTTGAGCTGTAGTCCTCAGATATCAGCTTTCTGAGTAGCTAGGATTATAGGTGTGAACCACTGACGACTGGCAACCCTCAATGATTCTTGACAGATAATCTTATTCCATACATTGAGAAGCAAACTTTGTGCTAGTTGTGCATTAGCTAGATAGGATCTTGTCCTTGGAAATCCCCATGCAGGCAAGATGGACAGACCTTGTTCCAAGCAGACTTCAAAGTATGTTTGATTGGCCAATACTAACTCATGTTGGAACCTAGCTCAAGAGTGTGGGAAGTACGGCTTTCAGCAGACAGCACAGTGTAGGAAGATGCCCAAGATAAAAATTGGAATCTGGCCAGGTACTGGTGGCTAGGTAGTCCTAGCTACTTAGGAGATTGAGACCTGAGGATCATAATTTGAAGCTAGCCTGGGCAGGAAAGTCCATGAGACTCTTACCTTCAATAAACTACTCAGTAAAAGCTGGAAGTGGCACTGTAGCTCAAGTGGTAGAACCCTAGCCTTGAGAAAAAGAATCTCTAGGACAGCACCTAGGCTTAGAGTTCAAGCCCCAGAGCCAGCCAAAAACAAAACAAAACAAAAAAATGGAATCTGTAAGAGAGCCTGCACTAGTCTGTGTCCCATCTCCCCAACTGTTTTGGATTCTAGGTCACTCATCTCGAGGACTTAGGACTGGCTAGTATCAGGATGAGAGTAAAGAACTGGAGAGGAAAATGGTTGGTTTAGTAATCTAGTAATCCTATACAAACCTGGTGTTCCAGCCCCTGGGAGTGTACCTGGGACAGGTACACTGTTGGAGAGAATACTTACCTCTGTGGTGGGTGGATGCAAGTTGAATGTGGGTATGAGAACCGTGCAGCATGTTGAGGTGCATAGACTGCTATGCTCTAGTAAAATTCTACCAGGGCTCATAGGGACTCTCTTGTCCTGAGGTTTCCCAGCTGCTCCAGCTACAAGGAACTCTCTTGCTCTGAAGTTTCCTAGTGACTCAAGTCATAGGACCTCCAGTAGGTCTGAGCCCCAAGGAGGAAAGGGTCTAATCTCTCAACTTGATAAGAAAATTGTCCTGTGGCTGAGTATTGTCACTTATTTTTATAATCTAGTACCAAAGCAAGGAGGATTGGGAGATTCCGTTTAAAAAAAAGAAGAAACTAGCAGGGTGATGTGACTCATGCCTGTAATCCTAACTAGTAGTCCTAGCTACTTACTGAGAAGCAAAAATTGGGAGGATCACTGTTGGAAGTCAGCCTGGGGTGATATGGATTTGAGACATCTTTTTTTTTTTTTTCTTTTTGGGTCCAGTTGTAGGGCTTGAACTCTGGGCCTGGGCGCTGTCCCTCAGCACTTCAACTCAAGGCTAGCGCTTTACCACTTGAGCCACAGCACCACTTCCGGCTTTTTTTCTTTTTGCTTATGTGGTGCTGAGGAATCAAACCCAGGGCCTCATGC